GCATATGTCAGTACGCAAATCGTAAGCATCCACCAGTGCCTTCACCCCAGTGTTGCTACACAGGGAAATGCAGTGCACTGCAGAGTTCCCTGGCTGCATTAGCTACACAGCATCTGGAAGTTCCCAAATAACCACTCTCCGTCCTGCAAAACACATCTTGAGCTTTAATTGTGAAAAAGCACTGGAGTCCTCCACATTAAAGGTACACAGAAAATGTTGCTTCTAATCAGAAAGCAACACTAATTTATGATGTTGAATTTGCACATTATTTTTTAAAATTGCATGCTGAAGTGATATAGAATACTTTTGCCTAATTCCCACAATTCACTGGAAAAATGGGAGTTATGAAAATGTATCCCATTACAAGAGGTTTGAAGAGAAGAACAAGTACACAAAACAGTTGTGATTCCTCACAGTTTAGCATTATGTAAAACAGGACAATTCTGATGGCTTCTGCTGACAAATAACACATGGGGAGTTTAATCCGACTCTTAGTTTGGTGCAAGAACAAATGTCAACTGTTTTCAGTGGGAACTGGCTCAGACCTTCTCTGGCCATAATATAGAAGACAATTTTACCGTTCTTGTGTATTTTCTCAAGAAACCAAATTTCCATGGCCTGTCTTTCTCTTAGGAAAATATTTGATCAGAGGTCATATTCAGTACCTCAGATGTGTTTTTCCTGCATATGGAAACAATTGTAATCATCATTCACTCTCTTTAAGTCAAAGACTTTTGACAACTAAAATATTATCTTTTTAAAGCCTTTTGAAAACTTAATGGTTGCCAGGACACCACATACCAATAAATCTTTGTAGATTGCAACCCTGACAGCATTTTGAAATTGCTTAGCATGTAGAAAATAGCTGAACGACTACTGTCTTGCCTAAGTCAGCCCAGGTACCTGAAGCAGCACTCTCCTCAGCCAGAGAGGGATCAGCCAGTACAAAAACCCAGGGATTTCTCTGTCCTCTGAAACATTTTTTAAATACCATTCTTGGAGGCAAGAGACCCTCAGGCTTCCAGAGTAATCTCTTTTTTCTGACAGACAGACAATACCCTCGTTACGAGCATGGGCAAACCGTTTCCTTTCCTCTACATTTGCGTGAAGTCAATATGGGGGCCTGTTTCAAACAAATCATGCAATTCGCTTACACTTGTTTGTTGCAGATGCTTGCTGATGTAAGAAGAAAGGAATGCTGTCTAAGCAAATGACAACACTGTTTTTTTCAGAGACATACAATGTCATGGTGACACATAATTACCTGCGTCATTTTTAGCTTAAGGGATAGATAGATGTGCTGTTTTCTCATGTAACTCTTGTTATGCCAGATCCTTATCTGCAGTAAATTAAAGTAGCTAGAGAGACCGTGTGAGAAATCTGAGTCAATTCATTTCTGTTATAAAATGTGGAGTTCAGTGTTTTCAAACTCCAGCCACAAAAGATACTAACGGCCTCATTTTGTGATCAGTATAGGACAGGACAATAATGACAGGGTAGGTCCTCATAAAGTCATGCAAATCGACTGAAGATCTAACCCAGCATTTTTCAACTCAGCTTTGTTAGAGACTTCAGGTTCAGTCTTGTCCTATTGTGAATTAGTCCCCTGAAACTGCAAGGAAACTAGCGTGCAGTGAGCAAGTATTTTGCGCAGCAGTAGCTGTTTGCAGGATTGTGTTCCTGCCCATTGTCTGATAATAGCCTATGGATATTGAACCCCTTGGACTAGCTTTCTGTACAGCAGGGGGAAATGTACACACGAGCACATATACACACAGGCACATTTTGTAAGGAAACTCACCACTGCTAGAAGCATCGTTGAGATTTAGCAGCCCACCTCCGAGCCCTCTGTAACTATGGTAACTGTAGGTCCCATTTCCATTGATGTACAACACCTCCTGTGTGCTGGAAACAGCTGAAGTTGAGTAAGTGACCTGGGCTGGCTCCTGTTTGTACTGTTTGTCAGCTGGAGCAGCCTCATCCTGCAAAAACAAAGAAAGGTTTTGAATTACGGTTACATTTTACCTTGCATGAGAGGGTCTTTTCCATCGTTAAGACTTTTTATCTACTGCTTTCAGAAAAGCATAATACATGTTGAACAAACATAGAGTTGTTTCTGACTGACCAAATATCAGCTGGAAAGAAACAATGGGAATAAACAAGAATACAGGTTTCCCACAAATCTGAGAATATTTATTTATTTGTCTTCCACAAGCCAACCACACTGTTTCTTAAAGGGGAAGATGCATCCTCTCACCCTGAAGAGCTCAGTCTTCTGCAAAACCCAACTCTGCCCAGAAATAGCATGGGAAAGCACAGAAAAAAGGCATGACTTTCTGAGTACATGAGTGACTCTTCCAAGTCAGAGAATCATATCTTTCTTGATATGATAAACCAGTACAGAATGCACCAACTACTTCTTTTGATGTATCAGCCTCAGAAATGATGGAAGGAACAGAGGAATGGAATAAAACATTTCCTATGTTTGCAGAGGGCTGAGTGACCATCCATGCAGTGTCCAAGAGGTAAGGATGCCTCTACATATGTGACTTGAAAGCATTTGTTATCTGTGTATGAGCAGCAACTGTTTGTATACCATAAATTCCCCTCACGCTCCCTCTTTGCCTCTTAGATGCTCACATAATATTGAACAAGATTTAGCACAATAGCCCTCCAACTTTCCCCTAAAGCAGAACACGTTTCAGCTGCAAGTATGTTCTTCCCCATCTGCACTTATGATAGCTACTGCTTAGAGCACCTCACCTCCACTCATGATCACAGAATGCCCCTGTGGCAACTTTCATAATGACACAGGTGAAAAAAAGAAAAGCATTAAGAGAAGATTTAATGTGTCTTCGTAGTCGGAAACAAGGAAAACTATCAGTGTGTGACTGCTTAGCCCACCACAGGGACCCAAGTGCCAAAATTTCTGATTTAGCCTGCAAATGTATTTGAAGTTTTCCTTTGTTTCTTTTTAACTTGCGGATTTTTTTTTTTTTATGGGTCAGATTTTATATTCTTATCTTATGAAAATATATTTCAGTAATTTCAAATAAAATGGATCTGTGGAAGATCAGTATTTAAAAAAATTGAGGTGAGAATGTTTGCAGACCTTTTCGGCTAGTTAACTGAAAAACAATCTGTTGGAATTATCTTCCCTTTGTGCAAGATTCTGTCCATTTTATGCCTCTCTCTTCTGCACAACCTTTTATGGTTGCTAAATATGCCAAACTTATTAAGAATGTAATAAAATACCTCAAACCTTTTTTACAGTGTTTACTTAAGGAATGCATACACCAGCACAGAGGGATCAAGTATTGCAAAGAGTGTCCAGTCTCTATGTAGAAGCAAAAAAGGTTCTGAAGCAGCTTTTCTGTTTGCATTAGTAGCAGTTGTCAGTTCCACCTCTCAAATAAGACACTATCAACATTTCTGAGATTAGGATATCCCTGTCTTGTAGGCATTTATTGATTAAAGAGACTTGGGCACAACTGAGATGACTCAGAAGGAATATATATTATTAACAGAAATTTTAATATTTAATACAGAACACTGAACCATCAGATAATTAATTCTATAAACAATCAGAATGAGGCCTCTTGGGCACTAATATGAGCTGAGGCAAAGCTTCACATTTTTAAGAGAGTTGGCCAAACTAGTTTGCTATGCATTTTCTTAAGTAATAATAGACTTAAACAAAGGGCTAAAATTGCAATGTATTTTTGTCAGGAATTCAAATTCAGTATCATTTACCTTTTATCTCCAAAGGTCACTCCTGTCTCTTATAAGAGAAAATGTATTCTTTTCTATGAGAAAATATTTATAAGCTTTACAGTTAAGTTCTGTCTTGGCAACAAAGCTCAATTCATGGTCCAAAGCTTTAACACTCTCAAGGCTGAGATGTTCTGTACCCTTATGGTTAAAACTAGATGATATGTCCTGCCATGGGTTCACTCAGAGCCTCATTTTATTCTCAGGAAGATCAGTAAGGGATCTTCTGCAAATTTTTCACAGACTGGACTGTGTTCAAGAGGGGCAGTGCAAAGGGGATTAACTCCTATAGCTGAGCAGAGTATCTCAGGGCCAGCCTGCCTCCTCATCCTGACTGCCTGGGACCCACAAGTTTGCTGTCCCTGAATTTACATGTCCTCCAGAGCCCCTCTATTCAGTGCACTGACAACCCAGCAGTGAATTTACTGCAGAGCTGATGCCCTGAACTTCTAGCAGAGCACAGCAAGCGCAGCCTGGCTGGAGGGCACAGCAACCTTGGTGAGTACCAGCCCGCCTGTTAGAACACGTGGCCAAGAAACTGGAGACCCAATTTCTGGCTCCTTGTTACAACACACAGTGAAGAGGCGGAAAACTTGGGATGCCAGGTCTTTGCTAGCTGTGGTGAGGAGGGGACCTGGACTCAGAGCTGCCATCTCCTAGCAACCGGGCTCAAAGCAAAACGGTGGTGGGAGTCATAGCTGAAGCTGTGCCACTGTGGGGAAAGTGCACAATTCATAGACAGCAAACAGAAAGGCAGCATGACTCAGTTCCCTTTCAGAGAAGGGCTGTCCTGGGAGGCTTCCAGCCCTGCTCGCTTCCAGCTACGCCCCAACACAAAATTCAGAAGCTGCTCTGAGGTTGGGAATCCGAGCTGGGGCTGCGCTGCTGAAGGGGGATCTTTGTACTGAAATAATCACAGCCCTGTGGGACACCGTGGCGTGGCATGGGCTGGGGCTTGGGGGTGTAGCCAAGGCGTCCTGGTGGGGACGGCACTCCTGGGAGGGCTCAAAGGGGCTGAGGGGGGTGCTGAGCCCAGGACTCCTGGTTCTCAGTGTGAGCTCTAATCTCTTGGCCACTATACAAAAGGTGGTTTCTCTAAATATTGCATGTATTTTCACAAAGCAGACCAATCACCTGTACCTCAGTGATGAATAAGTTGCCACACATTTCAGAGGCGAAATCTGGGCCTCACCTAAGCGCTTTGCTCAGTGCTTCAGGATGACTAAATGCAGAAGGGCAGGATTTTTGGCAAGCATTTTCTGAGCAGGCTCAGGTGTCAGCCCTACTGGTAGGATTACGAACCATTAGCCTGGTCCCAGGGGGTTAAGTGTTGCGTCTCACACACTCCCTTGGGATTTAAGTATTTTTCAAAAATGTTTTGTACTTCAAAAGGTAAAACTCTGTTCCTTTTCCTTGCAGCCATGCCAAGCACAAAGAAGCCAGGCTCTCTTTTTCTTGGGGAGAGAGAACATGAACATCATATTCACTTTTGTATACCTGAGATTTATTCTGCACAGATTTATTCTCTTCTTTCTTTTCATCTTAATTGCCTTTGCTTTTAAACTACTGTAGAAATCAAACAAACATAGGGTTGTTACAGAACTGACATTTTTTTAATATTCTGTTAGTCATTCAGCACTTCTTGTTTCCCCTTATATTATACTTCTACTGGGAAGGTTTAATAATTTATTAAAAATATTATTCAAAATTATTTTAATTTCATAATAATCAGTAACAATTAACTAATCATTTATTAATACATTTAACCTAACTACCTGGAACACACACTGTTGTAATTCATAACAGATCTATAAAACCTGTGAAGTATTAACTGGTTTTAAACTATTTATAATCATGAACAAGATGCATATAAAACGTTTGTCCATCTAGAATATGACTTACACCATCTTCATTTTGTATATGGCAACGGAAATAAGTCATCCTTCTAACAATATTTCTCTTATGAATTTATTTTGAAGGAGAAATAATTTGTCCTGAGTATATCATCTGGAAAACGATGTAAATCACAGAAATGCAAACATACTATGCTAAAATACAATGTAATCTGTTCACTTGAAAAAGTGGAAGCATGAAGTAATACTGCGATCCTCAGCTTGGCATACATCAGAGATATCTAAGTCTCAGTTTTATGTCCAGATCTGTACTACGAGAACACAATTTTTTCCTTAAAAAAGCAGACAAATGCAATCTACTTTATTTTTAATTATAGAAACAACTAAATAACCCTCTAAGGACAATACAAAGATTTCATGAACTATTGCACAACCTGTATATTGAAGAAACCCTGCTCTGCTCTGACTGATATTCTGAGCAGCTAAGGAATAGTTTAAAAGGAAATACCATCCACAGCAACACAGATGCGAGTGCAGAATGTCACGACTGTGGTGAAGAGAGTGAGATTCACCAGCAGTGTCCCAGTCTCCTATTCCCCATGCCAGTGGAGGCACAGCATACACATTTCTTTTTGAAAAGTCTGTCCTTTGTGGAAGCAACTCTAATAATGCCATTGCTCCTTTTTGTTCCCCATCTCCTTCACCACCACCAAGATACTACAAAAAAGTAACATCTTGTTAAAATAAAAAACCCTGGCAAATCTGTGCTACACTCAGTTTTGATCCCATATATACACAGGTGTCAGAAATTCTGTGTATTCCCATTAAGAGAGAGCAGTGCTATTGTCTTGGCTCCACTGCTAGCAATAGGCATTGCTAACACGTAAATGTAAAGCCCAGACGGGAGTGTCTATGCAGATCAACTCACATGGACAACGCTAGCTGAGCGTAAAACTTCTGCAACAAGAATATATTGGTAATGTTCCAAAAATGGCAAAAATGGTGACACACATTTAACTACTGCTTTCATGAAATGTAGTGTCCACCTGACTGACAAATTAACAACTTTGAGAATGACAGCTTTTAACTGCCCCTATGTCAAGGTGATTTTTTCCCACTCAATTAGAAAAAGAGACAAAAAGGCAAACACATTTTTGCCTCATGTTTTTTGGTACTTTCTTTTTTAATACGTTAAACTGAAAAATGTGGATTTGTTCTTGTCAATAAACACTTCTTTTAGAATACCGCTTTGAGCTTAGGAAAACTCCAGTGCAGATTAGTCTTCAAACATATATGCAAGCCAGGACCCAATATTTCCATGTAGTCTTCTATTTTTTCAGCATGGGAAAAAAATTCAT